CCCCCCCATTAAAGTTTCGTTTTTGTAAATTTCTCTTGTTTGTTTTTCAGTGACTAATATAATAAATTAAAATATAGTAAATTTAAATGTTTTGTTTTAAATCTAAGTTTATGTCTTTGTATTCTTTCAGGATTCAAGTGCATATTATTCTAAGGATGTAAATTACAACATGCATGGAATGTGTGATTCTAAATCTTTGTATGTTCAAACTAAGTCATGGGAGTCCATTTTCTGGATCAGTTGATGTAACAAAAAAAAAAACTTAACTGTTTTTTTAACCTTTCATTGTAAATAATTTTACTTTTGATTAGAATTTTCAAACAGTTTATCCTTTTTTTTCTAGACTAGAAAAATAAGTACCCATATAAATTAAAACATGTTGAGTATCCAAAACAAATAATACACCTGAACCTAGGATTAAAATTAGTTGTTTGCTTTCTTAAATTGTGCTACAAAATAGGAAGCTGAAAAACAAAACTAACTCATTAATTTCTTTTTAAGCCTTAAAACTTGTTTGTCAAAAGGAATATAAGCACCTTCACCTTTTGTAGTTTCTATGAAACATGAATTAGACAAACTTATAGAAAAAATGTGACTGGACATGCAAGTGCACAAAATGTGTTGAAAAAAAACATGTGTGTAACTTCATGTACATTGAAACGTACACAGAAGTAATTCAGTTATGAGCAATAGTTATAGCTTTGAGTGAGTTCCAATACCATTGTAGAAGCAGAAGGTAATTTCTATAGATGTGTGTGTGTGTGTATTAACACTAACATTTTCATTTTAAAGAGTTGATTCATTCCAGTTCCTTGTACAAAGTTCAAACAGGAACAGTTAAATGTTCCAACTACCAGTAACATTGAAGGGAAGAGTACAGGTTCTGCATTATTGTAAAAAAAAAGTAGGTTCATCAAAATTAAGTATTAATTTTGCGGTCTTCAAAGGTCATAACATGGCTTGACTGTGTCTTTTGATACAAAAGTAGCATTTAAGATTTTCATGAGTGGCCAATTTTAATTTCAACCAACGTAATGCTTTGCACTTAACTGGATATGGAAATTGTGTGTATTCATGTGTACTTGTCTGTGAATGTGGTAACTATACTGGGACATGCATACTTGTTCATTCATTGTGCGTAAAGCGTGCAGGTATTTTACTTTCATAGTGCTTGAGAAAAAGTAAATTATTTTATTCTGTAGGAAGCTTTATGGAGATGATTTTAAGGTCTGAATCTGCCATTTTGAGTTTCTCTGGTTAAAGATGTGTGTAACTGAGTTGGTTACTTGTACTTAAGTGAACTTGTTAAAGTTACTAGTCAGTGTGCAATATTGGTGTATTGGAGATAGTAAATATCAGTTTTACAATCAAATATTTTCAGAAGCAATAATTACTAATAGTCAGTTTGAAATGGACAAAACTCATTTCACTGTTTATTTGCAGTTATAGTTTCAATAATTAATTAGAATGTCAGTCTGAAATGGTATGAAGGAATTTATGAATGAAGTCTTTACCTTGCTACTTTTTGATTTCTGTATACGTTTTTTCTATCAATTTTAAAGTAACCAATATGGCCAGTTCCACACAAGATTTGTGTACACTGATTTAATGGAGTTGAGCAAACTAATTTCATTTTTCCAGTCTGTTAAGTGGTCAAAGCAATAGTTTAAAATTAAGTATAGAAAAGTAACTCTGCTCATTTTTCATCATGTTTAAATCTAACAGTCAGTTCTTAGGCTAGGAATGATTTTAATTTTAGGCACTTTAGTAAACTTGGCTATAGCACTGCATGTTTCCATCTTTATACATGTAGCTTCTATCTTAGGGTTAAGAGCAAATGAAGGCTGGTTATTGTCTGGTGGTTAATGTGCCTAGACTGTCAATGGAAGGGTACATGTCTCATAACCGTTTAATTAAAAAAAAAACAAAAAAAAACTTGGAATCATGGGTGAAATACTGCTGTTTTATCAGACAAAAATAGACCAAGGAGTTGGTGATGGGAGCTACCATCTAGCTATCTTTTCTCTAGCTTGTTCAAAATTAGAAATGGCTGTGTCCTTGTGCAACTATGAACAGATGTTCTAAATGAATGGTAACAATGAAATTATTTAACATTTTGTACTCAACATTCAACTTCTACATATATACATGTAGTTGGGTTTGTTTAATTTTTTTTAACTATTAGGTTACTAAATACACTTTTTTTAAAGAATCTTGGTCTTGTTTTAATTTTTATGCGGATGAATAACTCTTCCAAAAAAATTTAGTCCAGTGAATATAATTCACCATTTTTATCTTTCTTATTTAGGAACCGCACAAACAAAGTTCAAGTCAGCAATGTGCCCAGTCATGTGCAATGGGAGGAGATCAAAAGGTTGTTGTCAACATTTGGTAATATTCATCACTGTGATCAAGGTAGATGAACAAGTTAATTGTTTCGGCTGCTATGAAAATTTCCTTACTTGCATATTTCACACTCACTACTCTAACTTGTATTTTTAGGATGAATATCACTGTATAAGAGATGTTTCTGTAATGATTGACACTGTAACTAAATTGTTACTGGCCTACTAGCGTATTTTATTACAAACATGTTAAAAAAACAATACTTTACCTGGCATAGCCTATTAGTATTATTGGGCAAGGTTTTTAACTTCTTACCATGGAAGGGTTGTCAGAAGCTAAATATAATGATCTTTGTATGAAAACTCTTCTGTGCTAATCTGAAAATTGCTAACCAAAATGGAAAAATATGTTAGTAACAAGATTGTTCAAAAGAATTATAATCATAGAAGTTATCTTTGAAAAAATTTGAAGTAGCTTTGGTGTTAGTTAAGTTTGATGTAATTAAGCTTTTAATTCCTAGGGAAGTACTGTTAGAAGTCTTGTTTAAAATGAATAAACCTACTTTAAAAGCATTCAGTCTTGTGGTGCATTGTGCTCTGGGAACATGTAAAGAATTGTGTTACTACCTAGTGTAAGTAAAGAAACAAAAAAAACTGAAACATGGGAGGTTAGTGTATATATACTACCTTATATTAAATGTAATGAAAGAAATGTAGGAAAAAGTTACAACAAATACCTTTGCCATAGACACTTGTAACTTTTCCCAATATTTATTTCACTACTTTTCCATGTCTTACATTCTTTTTTTGCAGTGTTTTACACTAAATGTAAGCTCTATCTATAACTAAAGTATTTAGCTTTAAGCCTTCAAATGATTTAAGTTATGCTGTATTGAACTAAATGGTAAATTTGGATAAGTATTTTACATTTTTTTTAATCTTACTTAATACAACTGCATTCCATGTGTGCAGACAAAACATTCCAGACTATCAGTCTCCCGGTGTTCCAGGTGACATCCTTTGGTTACCAGATGTTTTAAAACACATCTGTCAGTCTCCCATTGTGTCATAGATGGCTTCTTTTTATTTTCTAGAACTTGAATGGAAAGAAATTTGTCCCTGAGAAAGTTCTGGGAATTGGTTTAAAAAAAAAAACAACCTATTTTTAACAATTTATGAACAAATTGAAAGCAACTGTGTGATCTAGTTTATTTTCTTAATACGAGAACTTTTGCAGAAAAATAATCCCCTTTACACTGTAAATAACAGTATTCAAGACTTGAAGAATAAATTGTATGATTTATTTTGCAGCTGTAATCAAACAGACCATATTCCTGGTGTTACCTTGTATTAGTGCCGGATAATTTATCCTAACAAATCCATTATACAATAACTATTATCTTACCTTCTAGAAGTCCTTTTAGGATTCACAACTTTTTCTTTTAAATACAATGACGGTTCCTAAACTGGAGCCTCCCAGTAGGTCAGCAGTATCATGCTTACACTGCAAAAAATAATAATTTAATACTTGTGATGGGTGCAGCAAAAGATTGCCCATTATGTAGCTTTGTGCTTAATAACAAACCTAAACTGGAAGGTTCAGTGACTAAATGATTATCCTTATTTCTACAATGTCTACATTGGATGAATAATCCAATATATGCAACAAAGAATTAAAAATCATTTATAATTATTGAAATACTACTGAATGTACAAGTATGTTGTTTGAATTAAAAAAAAAGTGGCTTAATATTCTGTTTTTAGTACAAAGTGGCATGTTCCAAGATCTTCTTTTGATGTTTATAATACTTACTTCCTTTACACCTTCCAACTACTATAAATATTGCTCAAATTTTTATATCCAAAACTCAAATGAGCTATTTGAGTTGAATATTGATCAGCTTTGATTAATGCTGTATGAATTTACTACTATTTCTAGATAACATTTTGTTGTTGTAGAAGTGCAGGTAAAGTGACATCCACAGTTCACTTACACTTCCCTTTTTCTTTAGTGATTTTTGTATTGTTTTTTTAAATGTATTTTTGAGTATTATAGTATTTTATGAAACCACCAGTGAGGTACTGTTGTAAAATTAATTATTCTGATATTAATCTAATTGCAAAAGACTTGTTAAGGAAAATCTTACTAGTTTAAGGAATACTTGAATTGTTGTTTGATATACATGCATATTTTAAAAAAATTGAGTACATGGTATAAGGTTTAATATTTATGTTAGTTAATAACTCTTCATGTTACAGGTCCAGCTAAATCAGAAAGTGCATACAGTGTCTTTGTAACATATGAAACTCAAGATCAAGCTCAACAGTGAGTAAAACCAATTTATACAGACAAAATTTAAAATTTGTCGTATTCAAAGTCTTAACTTACCCAACTTCTGTAAATTGATTAAGATTCTCGCAACTAAATCCCATTGATCAGAATAAAACTATTTTGCCATTATAACTAACCTGTACTTTTTTAGTGTAAATATGAAACGTTTTCAAACCTTTTGCAATAAACTTAGAATGCTAGTATAATTCAAGTGTTATGTGCTCGTAGTAACTAGTATCGGTGAGCAAACTGTTGTTTGTAATAATCAAACTTGAAGTTTTTCAGAAGTTAAAAAAAAAACGTTCTTTGCTTCAAATGTAATACTTAAACCGTGCTTGGTTCTGAATATTCATGTCAGTAAACGTATTTCGAAAACTTGTGTTAGTTAATTAAATCTCCTCCAGAGCTTCTGCTGACCTCATGTGTTTAAACAGCCAATCAATGTGCTTGAATTGGTTAAGGAAGTGTCAGTTGTTCCCATTGTTCTGACACAATAAGGGGGCCTTGTTTTTTTTAAACATGCTGAACTTCTAGCTGTAAGTATTATTAATAGATCATTGGATTATTGTTCAATCTAATCTTAAGAAAAAGTTATTTGTATCCATTTGTTAATGTAAGTTAGTTTGAATAGTTTATTGTAATTTTAATTGGTTTAGTTATAGTTGGACCCTTAAGTTGCACACTAAACAAAAGGGAAATATTCCTAAGGCACTAGATTGTTTTGTATTTATAACAATAGCCTAACTTGGTATAAATTAGAAATTTAGCTGTAGAGGTCTGCACACAAGTTTTTAAATTAGAAAATTTTGTCTTACTCCCTCTTAAAGTGAAATGAGAAAGGTGTATAGTTTTTTTCCTTTGAAAAATGTTGTATAAACAAGTGTCATTGGAAAACATGTAACATTTATAAAGTATTTACAAAGTTCTTTAAGTTTACTCAGTAAGCTGTTTTATTTAATGGTTTTAATTTTATATTTATATTTTTGTGCTGATGACAAAAACAAATTCAACTTTCAGAGCTTTTGCACAGTTAAATGGATACGAGGTTGGAGGATCACCACTCAAGGTTGATTTTATCATGGATCAGAACAGAGTTAACCGGGGAGGTCGTAATGGTGGGCGCATGCCATACAACAACTCTGCCTATTCAGGGAATTCTGCCCCCATACGTTCCATAGACTTTCCCTTCAGGTAAGAAAATCTAATCTTTTCTCTGCCATGTGTAAATGAAATTGTGTAATCCCACAATAAGTATAAATAATTAAATAAATAAAGATATTAGTATATAATATATCTGCATAGTAACGAGGTTAAAAAAAAACAACAACGTATGTTTAAATAGTCTTAATATAAAATAACCCTGTAACCTGGGTGATTTCAAAAGATGGACCATACTTCTTTGGGGGCAAACAGTTTGTTTTTGAAGAAAGTCCATAGTAATGAACATTGTTCTCTATACGTTGAATACATTTATTTCATATTGTTTAATATTAGATATGTTCTTAAGAAAAAACCACGTGATATTTTGGCACTCAAATTGCTAAAACAACTTTAAAATATTTACACTCTGAGTTTCAGCTGGTTTTATGGTTTAGTAGTTCTTAAATTCATATAATTACTATTCATGTTTTGACATTTACTAATTTTGTACATTTTATATTTATTGCTGCTACCATCTCCCCTACTTAGTTGTCGTTAGTCAAGACTAAACTGGAATTTCTAAACCTTAATTTGGAATCTCTTGCTCAAGTATTTAAAGAGTATTCATAAAAACAAGTTACTTAACTCCTAAACCCATGATGTTTTTCTTTATCAAATTATCTTTATAGGAGCCAGCAGGTATTAACAATGGCATTAAGAACACAACCTGATTGCAGTTATTATTTTTCACTGCTTGTTCTATTTGGCATAGTTTTAATTTCTCATTCAACATTTAAAGAGGTCAAAAATCTTAAATTCTTTAATCTTGAATACTTAATTATATGAGCAGTGGAAACTTGACATACCAAGCTGAGGTAAATGTTAGTAGTATATGTATACATTGCATGACATCTTATGAAATAATGTTCATTCAGTTTTAGAACACAAGTTTTAATCGGTCAATAAATGTTAAACAGTGGCACTCTATAACTTCTTTTAGCAGTGTAATCCAATGTAACTAAAATTAAATTAATGTTAAAAAAAATTTGGAGAGAGAACAATTAAGCTTTTGTTCCTCAATTTCAAAAACCTATTGTGTGAAACCAGTCTTGGATTTGTCTGTGATGGCCATGCCAAGGTAGATAGTTGGCATTGTAATAGGTGTAATTTTACTTTAACTTGGTATCATTAATTTCACTTTCTGTGTATAAAATGACAGTAATTTCTAGTATAAGGCAATTAAAGTTTATAGCAGTATTTTTTTTTAAACAACAAATACTGTTTGAGTGGACAGTTAATTATGATTTGCCTCTTGCGTTGAATATTAAATGAATCATCCAGTTTTATTTATGGGAAAGTTGTTGAGCTTGTTAAAGTAGCACGTCTATTGATGTCAACCTTTAGGACAGCATAAAAATGTTAAATATACACCATAAGTTAATTAGGAAAAGATTAAACAAAAAAAAAACTGCACAAAGTATCACAACTTTCTATTAAATTAACGTTTTGTTTCCAATTGAATTGCAATTTATTGGAAACATCTGTAGACTATCTGCCTTTAAATATTAATTTTATGAAATATTTTCCTATTACTGTGAAATGTATTCCGGTACTTTCTGAGTTATGGAACTGTCCATCTTATTTGGCTAGGCTTATGAAATTTGTCCCAATAATTGTGGTATGACATTTGATTAACTATGTGAAAGATACTTGTAATACTGACATGAGCATCTCAAAGAACACTCAAGTCATCTCAACTAATGTATACTTTCGGTGACGAGGAACCCACTTTGAGTCTAATAATGGCTGGAGACGGCTTGAATGGGTAATGAAGAAAAACTTTAATATAAGT